GATTTTTATTTAGGGCCGTTTTACGTGCAAACCCGCCCCCCTCCTTTACAAAGACTCACGTCAATGGTATTTAACTGTCATCGACAATTGACGCTAAACTCACTCCATAAACGATTTTTCAGTCTTCCAAGTCGGTTTTTTTTTCAAAGCATTGTCTATCATCAAAAGGTTAAGAAACACTATTTGGATAATTTTTAGTTCTTGGATCCGATCAATGATTGTTGGTACTTTGTATTTTTCAATTATCTAGGAGCTCGTTTTCCAAGAACAATCTATTGCGTAAATAATACTAAGCACAGTGCTCTGCTATTTAGCTCATTGTGCTTGTACTTGAAGCAGTCTATCACTGCGATATTTGTCAAAAAAATCAACAAAACAGTTATTCTATTTCGTGTTTTGCCAAGTCTTTATTAAAGAAAAAAATGTTATTGTCATCAGAATCTGACAAATGACTCGTTTTCTTTTTAAACTTTTCATTGATTTTTTCAAGTGACAACCAACCGGAATATCTGAAAGCAAAGTGCCTATGAAAGAAGGCACATACAGAATAACCGATTTGCGAGAACGTCGACAATAACTGTTCGTTTCGTCCTATATTTCGATTCGAAATCACTTCTGTGGTCTATACTATTTGTCGTAACAATTTCTCAATAGGAATAATTTAGAATAGATTTTCAGATTCAAATTTGAATCCGAGAACTATATGAGAACTCTCAATAAAGTGTTTAAGCTTTCACTGGAAAAGTCAAGTCAAGTACTAAACATCCGTGATGATAGTTTTGATTGCTTCATGCTGTCTTGTATAGGTTTTTGTGATTGATGCTCACTTCTTTTGTATTTGAGTAAATGCAGTATTAGAGAAAATAGAAAATGTTGCAATATTTTTTTGAAATCTCCAGAAAAAAATGGTATTTTTCTCTTTTTATTTTAATTACAGTCTAAAAATGATGAGCTCTATGAAGGAATATCGCAAACATTATGACAAACAAATATGTGTTGCTGCTATTATTTTTACTGCAATCGGATTCCTTTTGCTTTGTGTTGGTGCCGGTACACGATCATGGCATGTGGAGTATGATTCAACAGGTTTAATAGCTTTATGGTATACCAATTTTTTTTATACGTGCTATGCTACAAACGGTACATGTTGGAGTAATCAAGGTTTACTTTCTTCAGTGAGTTCTGATCAACAACCAATAACAACATCAGTAGGTGTATCAACTGATTATTATCTTCGATTGAGAAATGCAGCTGCATTATCGATCCTCGGCATATTATTTGTTGTATTTGGCTTGATTGCCTCTGTATTTTTAATGCTGCCAAGTGGAAAAATTAAAATATTTAATGGACGTTTAAATGTATTGGCAGCCTTTCTGTTAGCCGTTGCTGCATTATTTCAACGTGCAGCATTGTCTGAAGGCGCACGTGGGTTGAACCACAATGGTTATTCAGGAGATCTATATCAAACTGGTCATGCATTAACTATTGCTGCTATACTGCTGTGTGCTTTTATAGCTGGAAGAATCTCTCTTTAAACTGACAAGTGCCATTAACTAATCATGAGACAAAATTGAATCCTAACTTTGAAAACTTCATCACCCGACGTGTTTTTTTCTATGTGAACATATTAGTGATTATAATCTTACTAATCTTTTTTCTGTGTATTATGTACAGATCTAATTAGGTCGTGAAAAATAAATATAATATGCATCATAGAAACTATGGGAGTGGGTATGTGAGGGTGTGGTTATGGCGTGGGCGGATGAGAGGATGGGTGTGGGTTTGCGTGTGGATATGTAGGGACTATATGGTGTTGCTATGGGGATTCTGTGGGTATGGAACTACTGTTAACTCACATTCCACACCCACACCAACACTCACACTCACGATATGAACTTTATAAGAGAGGAGCCCTAACAGAGAACGATCTGAAATTTATACTAGAAGACATCCTACAAAGAACGACATGAGCTTTTGAATGAAATACCCACTAAAGAAAAGCAAGTCAAATTTATCATACAAGATGCCCTACAGAGAACGATGCTAAATTTAGAATAGAAGGTACCCTACGGGGAACGATATAAGATTTTTAATGGAAGACTCCTTCCCCTCCCTCCCCCCATGGAAAACGATGTGAAATTTGTAATCGAAGACCTGAATAAAAAACGATGTAAAATTTAAAATAGACTCCTCCCTCCCTACGGATAACAATATGAAATTGACAATAGAAGGCATCCTACGCGGAACGAAATGAAATTAATAATAGAAGTCATCCTACAGAGAACAATGTGAAATTCATAATAGTAGTCTCCCAGAAAGAACAATCTGAAATTTGTCGTTGAAGAGCCCCTCCAGAGAGCGATTTGAAATTCACAATAGAAGATCCCAACAAAAAACGATGTGAAATTAGCAATCTAAGATCATCTACAAAGTACGATGTGGAATTCATAACAGAAGATCCCGTATAGAGAACCATATAAAATTCATAATAGAAGGTCCCGATACGGAGAACGATATGAAATTCGTAATCGAAGACCCCTATAGATAACGATTTGAAAATTAAAATAGAACACGCCCTACTAAGAACAATGTGAAATCGATAATAGAAGACGTCTACAGAGAGCGATCTTAAATTCATAATAGAAGGCACTCTGCAAGGGACGATGTGAAATTTGTAATAGACGACTGCGCACAGAGATCGATATGTACATTATAATAGAGAACTCTCTGTAGAGAACCCTGTGAAATTTATAATAAACACTGCCTACCGAGAACGGTATGAAATTTATAATAGGAGATCCGAAGTCGATGTTAATGGACGGATGTACATCCGTGTGTTGCAATTTGAAAATAGCACGATTAGTAGAATAGATCAAAGGAGAAGAAAGACCCACATTGAATCGAAGGTGAATAATCAAGGAGGGAAAATGAGATGAAAGATAGAAAGGCTAGAAGAAAAATACGATGTGTCACGCGTGTAATAGCAAATATGTGATTGGGTGTGGGTGTGAAGGTTGGGCGTGGGCGGGGTGTGGGGTATAGGTATGAGTGTAGATGGAAAGAATACCTATACCCATATTCACACATCCCCATCCCCACATCCAGCTCACACCGATCCTACATCCATACACCCACACCTCATTCCACACCTCACCCCACACACCCACACCCACTCACACTCACACCCACACCAACTACGTCCACATCCCATCCCAACCCACACCCATCCTACACCCATACACCCACTAGTGCCCGGCGCGACCAATGGTTTTGGTCACGGTCACGTCATGGTCACGAGGAGTGAGTCACAGTCACGATCACGGTCACGGTGAGGCTAGTCCGTGACCGTGACCATGAGTCTCGGCCCTTCTTTCTGGTTCTTCAACATGAAAATAAACTCTCTAGAAAGAGCTATTGCAAAGTTTCTGTTTACTATTAAAAGTGATGGTCGAGGGGAGAGAAGGTAGCTTCGCGGATAGAGATGTTAGCCGATCATTTGATCGGCGGCGGAAAATTTTTAAGGCATCAACGGCGGCGGCGAGGAGCTCTCGCCGAGGAAGTCATTTTCGGCGGCGGTGGCGACGACAAAATTTTTCCTGTGTTATTTCACAGGGCCTTTCGTAGATCCCTACCGTTAAGACAAACATTAGACGTTCTGTTCTCACAGAATTATAACGCTGTTTTCTTTTTAGCACGCTCATGTCTTTTTATAGAAAAATTTTTCCACTAGATGTAACTTTATTTTCATTAATTCAAAAAATTCACATTGTCCCATCATAAAATAACTTCAAACCACACAACAAGAACTGATGATATAAGCCAAAATGGCAATAATGTGACTATCCATCTAAAATACAAATTAAATTCAAACATGATAGCTTATGGCTGGCACTTTATCTTTACTTTACCAATATAAGTAAAGTATTAGAACATCTATGATGGTACAATTTTGAGACACGAGCTATACCCATCGGAATTTCAAATCGACCCCTCGGATTGCCATTTTCCGATGGGTCGAGGGCTCGGCGATGGGTATCTTAGGAGACATCGACAGTGAAAAATCGAGGCGTCGAAATACCCTCGAAAGGCCAGTTGTGGATCCATCTAAAATGTGTCGTTTGATTTCGAATGCTATAAATACCATGATTGACAATAATCAAAGTTAATTATATCTTCTACTGACATCCTGTACGCTCATTTGGGTTAAACTAACGAAAATACTTCTTGTCTTCCCAAAAGTGGCTGAACCATACAATCAATGTTCGTAAGAGAAAGAGCTATCGCGATATGCGATAATGGAATAATATTGTATTGTATCGACTGCACTGGAACCATAATAAGTGTACTTTATTGATTCGGAATAATACTTCTTACATAACATGTCCACCAACGAAACAAACTAAATTTCCTGTATTTATTAGAATTTTAATTGGGGAGATTGTGAAAGTATTGGTGCTATTTAATTCAGATAACAAACTTAGGATAATCTTTATACTATTGTTTAAATTAAACAGAGCAAATATATCCTAAAAGACAAGCAATACAACTCGTACATCTCTATCATCTGTTGTCGGTCATGATATACGGGTGTGGGTGTGGGTGTGGATGAGTGGGCGTGGGTGTGACGGGCAGTTATGGGTATAAATGTGCATGTAGGATTCTCGAACTAACGCCCACACCTGTTAGCTCTAATATGTATAGAACGAAAGAGACAAGCAGTGTCACTGATGTTATGTGACAGAACGATGAAAAAGATGACCTTCATGGGAATCGAACCCATGCCTTCTGCTATCTGGGCAGATGTCCTAAGCCAATTAGACTAGAAGGCACATCTTAATCATCATTTAGCGTCCAAGTGGTTTATCACAGACGCTAACAACACCCACTTCTGCACCCACACCCCACACCCACATCTCACACCCACACCCGACACCTACATCCCACACCCACACCTACATCCCGCACCCACACCCACACCCACACCCACACC